ACTGAGGAAGAAGGCCAGGACGGACGAAGTTTCGTTCAAAGAGGCCCTTACCTCAGTGAAGGTTGCAGTGGTAGAAATAGGGTACCCGGAGATCAAAATGAGTCCAGAGAGACTATTAAAAGTCCAAGACTCGATCTCTGAGGCCCACGATAAAATCCCCACCGAGGGAACACAGGTAAGGTTCGCAAAGTGCAGCCATAAGCCAGGTTACCTGGTCGTGACTTGCGCGGACCGAACCAGTGCAGACTGGTTGCGGGACATCGTCACAACCATCCAACCTTGGGAAGGGGCAAACCTGAAAGCGTTGGAGGGTAACGATATCCCTAGGCCACTAGCCTGCACAACATTCGTCCCCGACGAAAGAGGACAAAGGCCCGAAGGGGATAAAATCCTCAAAAGGCTAAAAATAGCCAACCATGGGCTAAATACACACCTTTGGACGGTGTGGGGTAAAACCCCATCGGCAAAAGGTCAAACGTGGGCTTTTTCGATGGATCCTGAATCCCTGGAAGAGCTAAAAAAGCTGGACATGTCCCCCTACTATGACCTAGGGAGACTTAAATTCAGAGTCAAAGGAGGACATGACCAAGAACCCGCCGAAAAGGTGAATAACCCAGGCACAAGCAGGGAAGAGGAAACCAAAGAGTCCTCTACAGAGGAAGAAACCTTGGCAGAGGACGACGAGGTGAAGTCTTCCCTCAGCAGGGAAGAGGACACCAAAGAGTCCTCTTCAGAGGAAGAAACCTTGGTAGAGGACGACGAGGTGGAGTCTTCCCACAGTGGGGTCAGTCCCCTCAAGAGGCAAGAAGCCCAAGAGGTGACTGTACCTATGGAACTTGGAGAGGCCTCTAAGAAGGCAGACAAACTGCCCAGTTCACAGAACTGAGCAGATCGATCAGGGTTCTTCAGGTGAACCTCCATCATGCCAAGGCGTCCACCGCTACAGTATGTAGGAGGTTCGACAAAGAGGGTCTAGATTTGGCCCTCTTGCAAGAACCCTGGTTACATGGCGGGAGGGTAGCAGGCCTAAAACCCAACCAAGGTAAGATTCTGTACAACGAAAGGTCTAAAAGACCACGCGCATGCATCTTATACAACAATAGGGTAAATTGTGTACTAATACCGGTGCTGTGCACCGCTGATATTGTTACAGCTCTCCTAACTACGCCGACAGAGGAAGGAACAAAAAGATGGCTAGTCTGTTCTGCATATTTCCCAGGCGAGGAGCTATGTCCCCCGCATATAATGGGCGAAATAGTCTCATATGCGGCAAGGGCTAACCTCCAACTCATCATAGGATGCGATGCCAATGCCCATCACACCATGTGGGGAAGCACGGACATCAACATAAGAGGTGAGTCTTTATTACAATTCATCTTATCCGAAGGTTTAGTAATTGCTAATATAGGTAACAAACCAACTTTCGTCACGGCAACGAGAAAAGAAGTCTTAGATATGACTCTGTGCTCGAGTAAAGCAAGTGATAACATTTCAAAGTGGCATGTGTCAGACGAACCATCGTGCTCAGACCACAGACAGATTAGATTTGATCTAATTACCCCACCTCGAATTTCAACCAAATACAGAAACCCTAGAGAGACGAACTGGGAAAGGTATTCAACATCACTTGGAGAGTATCTCGAAGAGGGTATGGTGGAAATAACAGGTGAACAAAGCCTTGACCGAGCAGTAGACCAAGTAAGTAAGGCTATTATAACCGCTTACGAGGAAAACTGTCCGGAGAAAACAAGGCAGCAAAGAACAAAAACAGTCTGGTGGAATAAACACTTGGAACGCCTTAGAGGCGAAGTGCGAAGGCTATTTAATAAAGCCAAGTCAACCGAAGACTGGGCCCTATACAAGGCTAAACTCACGCAGTACAACAAGGAGATAAGAAAGGCTAAAAGGCAATCGTGGAGGAAGTTCTGTGAGGAGTTATCTGAAACACCCACATGCTCTAGAATCCACAAAGTCTTAGCTAAAGAGGGTGCTGCAAACCAAGTAGGATTTCTCAGGAAAGATGACGAAACCTATACGAAAACCTTCGAGGAAACGTTAACAATGCTCACAGAAGTACACTTTCCGGCCGCAGAAATTTTGCTAGACCCGATAGTAGCATATAGCCCTCAAAGAAGGTCTCGTAGGCCAACTCCTTTGGAATGGAGGCTAGCTACAGAAATATCGAGGCCGAACAAAATTAGATGGGCTACAAACAAATTTCAATCATACAAATCCCCAGGAGTAGATGGAATATATCCCATTCTACTACAAAAGGGACAGGAAATTCTAATTCCACATATGTGTCGCATATTTAAAGCATGTATAGCCTG